TGCTTATTTTTTTTTTTAAATTTTAATGCAAAAAAAAAAAAAAAAAACATGTTAGAACTAAAATATAAATTAGAAATGAAGATATGCTTCAATGGCTTGTTTTTTCCCTCCTCTTAAGATATGGCATGGCCAAATCAAAGGCCCTGGTTTGGGCATCTCGGGTTTATGCTGTAATAAATTGTCCATTAAATGCTCAAGAATTGTATGTTGTCAATCCTGACTAACAAGATGACATAAAACGCGATGAATCACTCCTGCTGTTCACTCTTGATTGTTTGAAATAAATTAACAAGATTAAATGTTTTTAGCTGGAAAGTCTCACGCTCAAACACCAACTTTAGTTTGACCTTTTCATGTGCATTATATAATATGCAGTAATGCGGTTTTGTAACACTGTATGTTCTTGCATTTGCGAGGTTTTGTAGTCAGTGGTTTTGTTGTCTGCTTTTGTTTTGTGTTGATGGTGCTTGAGGTTCCTGAATAAAACACGTCGTGATACAAGATGTCCGATTGTTATTTGGCACATAGTAATGTACCTGCAATAATTGCACATGAAATCTAGTGTTGCATCGTCTGCTGTGGGTTTTGCACTCACACAGAATGCGCTTTTGCTTTCATTCATTTTTGTTTTGTTTTTTTAACCCTTACCTAATTTGGTGTTTCTGGTCAAAAGTGCCCAGCCTTTCAAAAATTGCTTGAAAAATCCCTCACTATGCTATATTATCACCAAATCTTGGATTCAATCAGTAGTACTTAGTCTTTATATATAATGCATTATTAAGGTATTCAGAATGTACGAAGTAATGCATTATTTCTTTTCATAAACTATTGTCACCAAAGATAAAATGAATTATATATTTGTAGGTTTTGTTTTTTTATGCATTATAAAGTTGCAAAAAGAAATACAAAACCTGTGTTAACTGAAAGAAAGCAAGTTGATAAAAAGATTTGAGTCCAACATTTGGTAACGATTATATTGCATGACGTTTATTCAAATTATTTTTGACCAGAAACACCACAAGGTGGGGAAAAAATCCCCTAAAATTACAAAAATCATCATATTTGGGGTTGGAAGTTTTTATAGTGCATGTTTATGTAGAAAAACAATGGAAAGTAGCGCAGTGCAGAGCATCTGAAATACTCGCATCTCAAAAAACCACATTCCTGAGGAACAAGAAGCATTTCTTCCTCCTGCGCTTAAACCACATTCAAAGATACTTCCTAGAAATAAATGCTTTTCAAAAATACGCTTATCTTGTTTCCCCTTCTCACTCCTTTTCTGCATTTATGCTTCTGCTTCTGCACTGCTCTAGTTTATTCTTGAAACTTGCCTTTTCAGTATCACAGGTTCTGTTGCTCTTGGGTGTTAAACTGCTGGTGATGTTCCTCGTTTGTAAGTTGCATTGTATTAAAGCTTCCGCTAAATGACAGCATAAGTCAGCAAAGAGAAACCAGACATTAAAGCGTCTGCACATTAGATGCATTAGCTGCAAATCATTTTTTACACATTCGTTCCACCTTCAGAACTTCAAGACAAGCTTCTTGGGTTTATAGGTTAAACTGTGAAGTAACGCGATTCATCTCTTTGTTGCATCAGTGATCTCAGTTAAACGAACATGAATGGCATGTACAGTAATGAACTAATAATGGATGGCTATGGGGCAAAACAAACCGGAGGGACTGAAATGTGAAGCCTGTATTCATGTTAAATGCTTTGTTTAAATCCACAACATACAGAAAAGTAAAGAACCTCGTCTTATTGGGTTTTGGTTTCGGCTCTGATCTACACTGTAAAAAATGATTTTTCAGAGTTGTAAACAAAGATTATTGAAGTACATTTGACAACACTATTTCAGTCTTTATTTAAAAAAATTTGTTTAATATATTGCAATTATTATAATTATTATAGTTACTGTAATTATTTCAGAAATGTACTATTTACATTGTTTATTTCTTGAGAAAATCTCATTCATGACAAATACAGTTTGCAATTTGCTGTTTCAGTCTTTAAAATGTTCATGTTTAATGCAATGTTTTACTTGCCAATTTGAAATTATTTGTGAAATTTTAGTAAATAAGTAAATTGTTTCTACAGCTATTTTTTTCTGTGTATCGTGTTACTCTCGAAAAATACAGTTTGCTAGATAGATAGATAGACAGACAGATAGACAGGCAGGCAGGCAGATAGATAGACAGACAGACAGATAGATAGACAGACAGACAGACAGATCGATTAGATAGATAGACAGACAGATAGACAGGCAGGCAGGCAGATAGATAGACAGACAGACAGATAGATAGACAGACAGACGGAAAGATAGA